GCACCCACGCACCCACGCACCCACGCACCCACGCACCCACGCACCCACGCACCCACGCACCCACGCACCCACTCACCCACGCACCCACGCACCCACGCACCCACGCACCCACGCACCCACGCACCCACGCACCCACGCACCCACGCACCCACGCACCCACGCACGCACGCACCCACGCACCCACGCACCCACGCGCCCACGCACGCACGCACGCACGCACGCACGCACGCACGCACGCACGCACGCACGCACGCACGCGCATCACCACCCACTACGCACGCGCGCGCGGAGCCACAGGTCCGCTACGACACGCCTCCGCGGATAGAGAAAATCAGCGCCATGGAAAGGGATGGGTGGGAGGGGTAGGACGTCAGATATGACGCGAGCGCACCTAGCTTGCCCCCTCCCCCTCCCTCCCTCCCTCCCTCCCTCCTTCCCTCCCCTTTCTCTTTCTTCGCTGCCCTTGGCCCATAGCCCCGCGCGCCGTGGAGAGGGGCCGCGCGCCCAGCGCCCCCGCATGGCTGGCACCGCGGGGGCGGCGGCGGGGGACGCGGCCCCACAGGCGCGAAGTCGGGCCTGCCCCGCTACAGGAGGAACCTTCACAGATGGTCCAAAAACAGTCTGGGGACGATGTTTCGACTGTTTCTGGCTGTTTTGGTGCATATTTTGGTTATTTCTTAGTTCTCCTCTGGCTATTGCTGACTGTGTTGGCTCTGACTGTGTTGGTGTTGGTGGTTCTTAGTTCTCTGACTGCGTTGGTGCATCCTTTGGCTATTTCTCTGAGTTCTCCTCCACAGTCCGCCTCCAGGGGGACGGGCCCGACCCAATCACAGGCGGCGGCGGCGGCCAGCGACGCTTGGGCGCCCGCGGAGGGCCCCGCGCCCGGCGCCGGCGGCGCCCCGCTGCTGCCGCTGGGGCTGCTGGGCTCGCGGCTGCTGGCGACGCAGCGGGCCGGGCCACCCTTCGCGCCCGCCTGCGCCCTGGGCCGGAAGAGGGGGCCGCAGGCGGACCCTACCCCTCTCTGGACGCCCGAAATGAGCACGGAAAGGATGGGTACGATGCCCAACAGCAGTTCCTGTTCATTTTGAACAGGACTCGCTGTCCGCGCCGCCAAGGCCAGTGTCCATTTGAGACAGAAGGCCGCTTGCCCAACAGCGGCCGCTGTTGGTTTGGGACAACATTTCGGGCGTCCAAACCCTCCCAGCTGCCTCGATGCGCCCGTCTCGAAGCGCCACACGTGCCGTGGCTCAGAGCGTCCGTGGCAATGCGTGCCGTGTCGGCTCCACGCAGCGGCCCACATTCTGGTGAGCGCATCTCGCCAGGCCCACGTTCTCAGGCCGCGTGCTGCGTTCCGTCTCAACAGGTTGCGTGTTGCGTGTTGCGTATCGGGGCAGGTAAGATGCGAACCCTACCCCCCCCCCTCAAATCGTGGGGGGCAGGGGCAGGGTCCGCATGTGGCCCCCTACGGAAGCCGCTGCGCCGCGTGCTCGCGGCCGATGCCGCCCAGGAGGACCGCGCTGAGGGCGCTGGCGGCGAGGGCCCTGCCGGCGGGGGCGCCCGCTCGTCCAGCAGCGCGGCGAGGCCGTCTCGGCAGGGCGGCGCGGCCGACGCCGCGCCGCCCGCGCAGACGGCCTACGCGGCCTTCCGGGAGGCGCTCCGCCAGCCCGCCCTGGAGCCGTTCGCGGCGCGTTTGCAGGAGTTCATTTCGAAGAAGAGAGAACGCCACAGATATCAACTTTTTTGGGGACCTCCGCGCTGGATTTCTTGGATCCGCTCTGGGCCCCCCCGGCTGCGCCCCCGGCGCCGCCCCTGGCGCGCTCCGCGCGCCTGGGAGGGGGTCCAGCGCCGATCCAAGAAGTCCGCGCGGAGCGCCAAAAGTTTATGTGTATGGCGTCTTTTCTTCTTCTATCATCAGCGGCTTCCCGGGCGGCCTCCGGAGGGAGGAGGCCGCCAAGCGCGTCCACCGCTTCCTGAGCGGCGCCTCGGCGCACCTGCTGTCCGAGAGCCCCGCGTTCGCCGCGGCCGCCGCCTCCGAGGAGGGCCGGGCGAGCGTCGTGGAGGGGCTGGAGAAGTTCCTGCTCACGAAGCTGCACGGGAAGGTCTTCGCCGGGGAGCCCGCGGACGCCGCGGAGGACGCGACGCTGCGCGAGCGCATACGCGGCCTCTGCTGGTTGGACTGCGAGCACCTGGGCATCCCGCCCGTGGACCCGGACCTGCTCGCAGAGGCCGCGGGGCAGCTGCGGGAGATGGACAATTACCGGGCGCCCCACGACAAGCTGGTGGTCCTGCTCAACGCCTGCCGCGTCATAAACCACATCCTGAAGAGGACGGTTGCGGAGAGGGCCCCAGAGGCGACGGGGCGGCCGCTCTCCGCGGACGACTTCCTGCCCGTGCTCATCTACGCGGTGCTCGCCGCCAACCCGCCCCGGCTGCACTCCAACGTGGAGTTCGTCTCCGCCTTCAGGCACCCGTCGCGGCTCGTGGGGGAAGACGCCTACTTCCTCACGGCGCTCCAGTCCGCCGTGGCATTCATCCGCAGCGCTGGGCCGAAGGAGGTGGACCTGGAGCGGGAGGAGTTCGACAGGCGCTGCGCAGAGGCGCTGGCGTCGCGTGCCGACGCGTGCCCGGAGGGCCCCCAGGCCGCGACGGCCGCCGCGCGAGCCCTGGAGCTGGCGCCAGAGCAGGCGGCGAGGCTGCGCGCGAGGGCGGCGGCGGTGCCGCTGCGCTTCGAGGGCGTCGAGTGCGCGGCGCAGCTTCGGATGGGTGACGTGCCGGTGTTGCTGGACGAGTACAGGCAGATGGCCGCGCTGCTGCGAGACGTGGCCCGCGGCACGCTCGTCTGAGGCCCTCGGGGTCGAGCGGGAAGGGGAGGATGAAGCAGACACGAAGGAGGCGGAGGCAGGGGAGATGGGGGGGGGATGGGGGAGGGTGGGGAAGGGGGATGTGGAGGATGATGACAGGCTGGAGGAGGCGAGGATGAGGAGGACAGGATGAAGGAGGAGGATGAGGAGGAGAAGGAGGGGGAGGAGGAAGAGGACAGGATGGAGGGTGGAGGATGGAGGATAGCGGATGAGGAGGAGGAGGAGGAGAAGGAGGAGGAAGAGGAAGAGGAGGAGGAGAAGGAGGAAGGGGAGGAGGAGGATCAGGAGAAGGAGAAGGAGGAGAGAGGAGAAGGAGAAGGAGAAGGAGAAGGAGGAGGAGGAGGAGGAGGAGGAGGAGGAGGAGGAGCGTGCGCAGCCTCGGGATCAGACTGTGGGGCGAGCGCGAGAAAGCCGGTGCGGCCGAACGAGCAGGCAGGGAGCGCGGAGCATCGCGCGCCGAGGCCCAGCCGCACGCCGACATCGTCCTTGGGACCCCCGTGGAGCTCACTTCTCCCCCCCACCATCCACGCACTATCACCGCCCTCTCCCTCCTCCCTTCGCCTCTCTCTGTCCTCCATCCTCCCTCACTCCTCCTCGGCCTCGAGGCCGAAGGTGAGGGCCTCGAGGCCTATCCAGCCTCGAGGCAAGAGGGGCAGGAGGGGGAGAAGAGTCTTCTCCCCCTCCTGCCCTTCGCTGCCTCGATGCGCCCGTTTTGAAACGCAAGACGTGCCGTGTTCAAAACGTCCGTGTCAATACGTTGCGTATTGGCTCAAGGTGTTGGTCCACGTTTTGGCGAAGGTTTCGCGCCAAACCTACGTTTTCGGTCTACGTGTCGAGCTCCGTGTGAACACGCTACGTGTTGCGTGTTGCGTATCGGGGCAGCTGGGCGAATCCTGCCCCTCCTCCTCCTCCTCGCCTCCCCTCCCCGTCCTCCTCCCTCCTCCTCCTCCTCCTCCTCCTCCTCCTCCTCCTCCTCCTCCTCCTCCTCCTCCTCCTCCTCCTCCTCCTCCTCCTCCTCCTCCTCCTCCTCCTCCTCCTCCTTCCGTAGCCATTTTGGCTCAAGGTTGAAACCTGCCCTGGGGCTTCAGCCTTGTCGCAGGCGACAGGGAGGCCCGAACCTTCCGAGGCCAGGACGCCTCTCTCCTTCCTGCCGTGCGCCACAGCACGCTCCCAATTTTGGCTACAACGACGCGAGCTGAGCCGCCATGGGCCCTGCCGCCTGCGACCGCCCACACCATGTCGTGCATCGTCTCGATGGGGGTGAAGATATTGATACGGAGATTGCTTCCTCTGGTGGCCGTGATTCCTCTGAGGAACCCCGCCGCTCTGCCTCTCGGAGCGGTGGCAGCCGTGGTGCTCGTCGTGCAGCTCGCGCTCGGCCTTCCTCCCACGGCAATGCTGGCCCTGCTCCTGAGCCCTCTCGCCGTGCTCGCCGTGCTGGCCGCGCTCGTGGCGCTGGCGGGGACGTCCCTATGTCTCCTGGTGTTGCAGCCTCGCATCGGGGCCCCGACCCTGCGGCTCTGGGAGCATCTCGCGGTGCTCAAGCTATTCCCTTGGACGAATGGGACGATTCCAAGCGTGCACAGGTGGCTGCAGAGCTCGAGATGGCCGCTACCTTCCCGTCGCAGGAGGCGCGACCCGACCCGAACGCCACCCCGCAGGGCCCTGCTGCTAGGCTTTTCGACCCCTGGGCCGCGGCGGCGGGTGCGGGCGCCACCCCGCGGGCTCAGGCTGCTGCTGGTGGTGCTGCTGATTGTGGCGAAGAGGAGGAGCATGCTGCCTTCACTCGGGCCTTCTACCATGCCGACATCTCCGCGAGGTTCATGCAGCTGCGCAATGAGTTCGACAATATCGTTACTACGGCCATCACCAATTCTGTACAGCAGTCAAACGCTCCCATCGTTGCCACGCTCGCCACTCTTCAGAAGCAGCTCTCCTCGCAGCACACCTCCATTGATCAGCAGGTCATGGCATCGGTGCGTCCGCAGTTTGATACCATGCAGCGCCAGTTTCAGGAGCAGCATGACGCCCTATCCCGTCGTGTCGACTACACTGAGCGGGACATCGAGGCCCAGGCTGCCAAGTTGGCTGAGCTGCAGAAGCAGGTCGAGGAGCTACGCCGCCAGAGTGAGCTGGACCGACAACTTCCGTCGCGCCCCCCTGCCCCACCTGGTTTCGAACGCGAGATCGACCCGACGCAGGTCATTGTGGTCTCGTCCAAGCTCGTCGGTCTGGCTGGCGTCCGTGAGGTGGTCAACTCCTTCATGGGCGAGCTCAACTTCTCTGAGGACGACACGTACACGATCAAAGCCCTCACGCCGCTCCCCGCCAAAAAGTTTGCCGTGTGCTTCTCTGGGCCGATCGGCCTGGCCTCCCGACGTGTGCAAAAGGCCCTCGCTAACCTCAAGTCGGACGGAGCATGGCGGGTCTTCCAGTGCCCAGCTCAAGGTGCGGACCCAGCCCGTCTTCACTTTGGTCCTGACAAGTCGCCGAAACAGGTTCGTGGTGAGATGCTCCTTCGTAAGGTCCGTTCTTCCCTCATGGAGCTCGACAGTCAGAGAAAGTGGTTTGTTGATCGGGAGCGGAGTGTTCTCAAGTCTGACTACACCGACATCCTGCGGCTTGTTCCCCGGCCAGGAGATGAACCCCCTGAGCTCTCTTGGAACGACGTGGGGATCCGCGCCCTCGGCCTGGACCGTCGTGACCTCCAGGAGGCCATTCGGAACATCACCGCCGCGCCGTCGGCCACCCAGTGGTGTCTTTGACGCCATCACTGATATGTTTGTGCTTCCAGTGGGGCAGGTCGGCGGAGAGATCACAGCCAGCCTCACATTCATGACTTGGAATGCACGCACTCTTCTCCAATTTGGTGGGGCGAAAGCCTCGCCTAAGCTATCTTACCTAAGCAAACTTCAACCTGGGCGATCCATCTTGGCTCTCCAAGAAGTGCGTGCAGATCGATTTGAGCTGAACGACTTTGTGGCCAGGCTTTCCTCCACGGCCATTGTCCACAGTAGCTTTTGTGAAGATGACGACGGCGAGGTTGTCCGCGGCTCTGGGGGAGTTGCAGTCGTTCTTCCTCCTTTCTCATCCACTTCGGTCAGTAGCTGTGCGGTGCCTCTGATCAGAGGCAGGGTGCTTCGTGTTGATGTAGCACTTGGGCAGACACAGCTGGTGATCTTCAACGTTCACAATCACGGCTTGACCAAGGGGGAGGTACAATCTGTCTGTGAGCAGATCGATTGTGCTCTGCGTCGCGCTGCTGATGACCCACTCTCGTACTTTGTGGTTGTCTTGGGGGATCTCAACTACAGTTACGATTCTTCTCTCATCTTTCACCGACCTACTGGAGTACAGCGCCAGTTGACTCATGATCATAAAGTACATGCTCCAATCTGGGCGGCTACACTTGGCAAGATGATGGAGATTAACTCTGAAGCGGCGACCCATTTCTGCAAGTTCACCAATTCCATCAACATCATCGACCGCTTCTTCTGTTCTGCCACAGGCTGGATGATGTGTCAGCTCATGACTGAGGTTAACACCGTGGACACGCCTGAGCACCTGTGCTCCATGGGCATCTCGGATCATGCTGCTCTCTCGATTCGGCTGCGTCTTCGGGGTGTGCGTCCCGCTGCTGAGCGACCCATCCCCAAGCACATCTTCACCTCTGTTGCTTTCCAGCGCCGACTCCGAGGAATGGTTGCTGATGGTGATGAGGATCTGCTCCGATGGAGCCCACCGGTGGCTACAGAGCACTACAAGTACATGATGAAGGAGGCCGCCAGGGAGGCCCGCGATATCCTCTTCTTCTCGGCCCCTGACCTGCCTGGGACGCTTCAGCTGGTTGCTCGTGGGATAGCACGAGCGGTATGGCGTCAAGACGCTGCCCTTGCCCTCAAGCTCATCGAGACCTCCCAGCACGCCGCCGACGCCCTGACGGTCGACGGCCAGGTCGTCTCGCTGCGCCACGCCCCGTCCTTCGAGCAGTGGGCCGCTGGAGTACATCGGCTGGTCTTCGAAAAAGAGCTTGCTGCTGCTGCTGCTGATCGTGCTCCTTCAGGCTCCTCATCTGCCTGGCGGCCTCATTCGGCCACGCTCTTGCGAGCTATGGAAAGGAAGGCCTCCATATGGGCCCCGTTTTCGAAGCGCCTGATACTGTCCGCGGTCAATACTCCTGAGGGCCCCATCTCAGAGGTTCGGGAACGCACTGCGGCCCTGGCGGCCTACTGGACCCCTGTCTTCTCCAAGAAAGAGCCCCACCCTGTCATGACCCAGATGTACCTCGATAGGTTCCTCACCAAGGCCTCTGACATCGACCTGCACTGTCCTCTGACCCCAATGTTTCGTAAGGTTCTCAGGCGTGCTCGTCACTCTGCTCCTGGTGTCGACGGGCTGCCTTATGCGGCCTGGTCGGCGTGCGACTACGGCGCCCAGCACCTGGCCAGAATGTTCGGATGGCTATGCCAAGGTCAGTCGTTGTTTGCCTCTGCCAGCGTCACCCTCCAGGCGTTCCTCCCCAAAGGTGCTGATGACTCAGATCTGCCGTCTGGGGTTTGTTCTCGGTCTCCCGATAAGATACGGGTCCTGGGGCTGCGTAACACCGACGTTAAGATCCTGAGCTCGGTCATGAACAGGGTCCTCGAGCCTGTCGTCCAAGCCGTTGCACCTGCTTCCCAGAGAGGCTTCATTAGAGGACGAAATTTTTGCTACAACGTGCTTGAGCTGGATGTCCATGCACGGCTTGCATCGCAACATCCCCTAGCTGTGCGTCGTTACCCTGTCCTCGTCGGGTTCGACTACGGGCAGGCCTTCCCGAGCTTGTCGCAGTCCTTCCTGCTACAGCTATTGGGCTCTCTTGGGCTCCCCGCCGAGATTCTCGATTTTGTGGGCTGGATGTATTTGGCTGTTGAAGGTGTGGTCCTGGATGGGGGATGCTACTCGACCATCTTCTGGATCCGCTCGGGCATCATCCAAGGCTGTGGTCTCTCGGGGTCTTTGTACGCTCTCGCCTCCTCCCCCATGTTGGCCGACCTCGAGCGGAGTATTGAGCAACGTCAGTTGGGGATATGCCGTGCCTGTGCCGATGATCTAGGCGCTGTCCTGTATGAGCTAGCCTCTCTGCGCATCCTGGTGCGGGTCCTCGGTGTCATGGAAAAGATTGCGGGCCTCAAGATTAAGATCAGCAAGTGCACCCTGGTCCCTCTCGTCGGCCGCATGACAGAAACCCTGAAAACCATGACCCAGACCCAGCTGGCTTCTATCGCGAGTGACTGGTCAGGCTTTGCCGTTGAGGGGTGGTTGCTTTATCTTGGGATGATCTTGGGCCCAGATGCGACGGTCGACATGAACTGGAGGGGCCCGCTTATGAAGGCACGATCTCGCTCTCGGATGTTGGGACGTGGGGTTGCGTCAGTCTGTACGAATTGTATCTTGTACCGCACGCGGGTCTACCCCTGTTTGGCGTATGTAGCCCAATTCCTCCCTATGCCCGAATGGTTCCTTCCCATTGAGCGTGGTGCCATCGCCCAAGTTCTCCGTGCTCCTCTTGGCCTCTTTTCGAACGAATCGATCCTGGAGCTCCCGGCCTGGGGTGGTCCTCAGATTCCATCGTGGGCTGCCCATGCTACTGCAGCTCACCTACGTGCTGCTTTTCACACCTTCCAGGGCTTGGAGGAATACTTACGGCTACTGCGACAAACGGCTTCTCTTTGGCACAGAGAAGTTGTGGAAGGGAAGTTTGATGATATCCCCTTGGCTGCTGTGGATCGCTCCCGTGTTTATCCATCTTTCTGGAAATCCCCTGCGTTCGTCGAACACCTTGAGCTGGTCCACGTGAGGTCTCAAGAGCCCCTACTCGTCGCCGCTCGCTCTGCCATGCGTGAGGAAGCTCAGGTTACGACACGAAGGTCCAAGCTGCAACGTGCTGCTGCCCGCTCGTTGGGTCAGAACATGTGTACGCACAAACCTCTACATGCCATGCTGATTCGCCACTTAACCCCGTTATTCACAGCTTACCTCCCCTTCCTCAACCTGATCCACTGGCCCGCTATTCAGGAGCTTTTGGCATTGGTTCCGCAAAGCTGGGCGATGGCAGCCTTACGGACTTGGGGGCATGGATGGCTGACATCACATAGGATTATCCACCCGAGGGGCAAACTTCGCTGTCGTTTCGGATGCCCTGGCCCTGATCGGCTGCAACATTATCTGCGCTGCCCTAAATTGTACCTGGCAGTCTGCAAAGGTCTACAGCGTGCCCTGCCTCGCCCCCTGGCTCTGCGTCTTGGCCTTACCCACCCCCACCCTGACCACTTCGAAGCTCTCTATGTCTATTACCAGGTCTTCAACTATGCTCGGCAAGGTGCTCTAGTGTCGACTCCCCGTCAGTTGCGTGGTTATGTTGAGGCCGCCGTCCGCACCTCTCGTCTGGCCAGGCCTTCAGCCAAATTGAAACGGTGGGAACCTCCTCCCGCTGTCCAGACGATCCGCCGAAGGCAGCCTCAGTGGGATGTGCTCACCTCATCGTCCACCTCCTGTTTGAGTTCAGATGCTGCGGCCCCCATCCCTGACCTGGTCCCTTCCACCCCGTGTGACGACGATGTGATACATAGCGCTGATGAAGCTGGCCAACCTGTTCCCCATCCAGTGTCCCCTGTGCCCATTCCTGCTGGCGCTTTGGCTCAGTGCGAGGCCCTGCCCTCAAGGCAGGGCGTCAACGGGCGGGCGTCCACTCCCGCTGCCACCTCGCCGCGACCTGCGGCACCCATGTTCCCATGGCCGCTTGCCGCCACGGTGGCGCTCTCCGCGGTCCATGCAGCGTCGATGTCTGTCCCAGCTGCATGTGAGGCGGATGTTACTCGGCTTGAACGTGAATATCGTGCGACCATCAAGCGTGTCGAACGCCTTGGTGCTGGTGGGCTTCCTGTTCGTGAGGACCCTTCTCTCCCTGAGCAGTTGCGGTGTCTGGACGATGCCACCCCGTCGAAGTCGACGCCGTCACCGAGTACTCACATCCTGCGTCTGGCGGGCCATCCACATTCTTCCTCTGTGGAGCATGCAACACCTGTTGTCTTCGGCGAACGTATTGCACCAAGGGCTACACGCTGGATCTTGCGCTTGGATGACTCCGAGAGCGGCCGTGCCGACTGGTTGATGTGGTGCATCCCATACGTACGTGCCAAATTTGAGGCGATGGAATGGGTGGATTCGTCTGGTTGGAGTGGTGCTCTCGACGAACTCGCTCGTCATATCTGCATGGTTGCCTGGGACACCTCTACCGAGGGGCGCCTCAATACTGTAGATTACTTTCGGTGGCTGAATGACCCGCGTAACTCCTTGACGCGGCACGGGCTCTGGGAAGAGATGGTGGATCGACATTTCCAAGCCCTTCGTGAGATTCGCAGAGAGATGAGGCAATACTTGGGACCCGCTGCACCACACCGTATTCGTGACTTCCTTGTGGACAGCAATGGAGACGAGTCCCTGCCCATCGTTGCTGCCAACGGGTCGGTGCACTACTTTGCCTCACTCGTCTCAGCAGTGGATCCCGATGATGGCGATGCCGCCGATGGTGATGGTGACGTTGACCCTGCCTCTTTCCTCCTCCAGGTCTCGATCGCAGGGTGCTCCTCGAGCCCTGCGGCCACTGGCGTTAGAACGCGGAGGTCGACCGCCTCTGATGGAAATAACGGCTCTGGAGTAAGTTGTGAGCTTGCGTCTCGAGTTCGGAGGTCGACCGCCTCTGTTTTAAATAAGGGCTCTGGAGTAAGTTGCGAGCCTGTGTCTCGAGTTCGGAGGTCGACCGCCTCTGTTCTAAATAAGGGCTCTGGAGTAAGTTGCGAGATCTCGTCTCTTGTGCGGAGGTCGACCGCCTCTGATGGAAATAAGGGCTCAGACATCGAGAATTGCGCCTTCTTCGTGAATTGCGCCGACGTCGAGTGTTGCCCCGTCATGGTGAGTTGCGCCGTCTTCGAGAGTTGCGCCGTCTTCGAGAGTGTCTCCGTCAACGAGAGTTGCGCCGTCTTCGAGAGCTGCACGCCATCCTCGAGAGTTGCGCCGTCTCGGAGAGTTACGCCGTCGTCACGAGCTTCTCCGTTGTGGACACGGATCGCCTCTCTCTTCGCTACTACCCCGTGCTCGTTTTCCCCGACCTGGCCGTGTTCGACGGCTGCTGCCCCCTCGTTTGCGCCCGGTCCGTCGCTGATGGCGGGACCCTCCTCTTCGATTTCGCCTCTGACGAGAATTTCGTCGTCATGGTCATGCAGTGCTACTCTATCTTATTCTATTGGTACGAGTCCTGGTACAGGAGTTGGGGGCACCCTCAGATTGCCCTATGTGTGTGAGTGCCGTCGGAAAAGGCTCCTGTTGCCCATTTTCCTCAGGCGCCCGAGCCCGAGGCACCTGCATAGTGGGCGGAAGTACAGGCGTAGGTTGTCTTCCCAACGGGGGGCGCGGTGCGAGTGGGGACTGCCCGGCGGTGCGCCGTTAGTGACCCTCGCACCGTTGCTCCCCGGCCCCGCGCACGGCGCGGAGAGTGCCCCGTGTTGGATGAGGGTCTCTCTCTCGTCCCTTTCCTTTTCGAGGCGTGTTCGTGATTCACCTGCGCGCTCTCGGCACTGTCCTCGCTGCTCTCTGCGTCTCGTCTCGGTCCCATCTTGCGTTCTCGCTCCCCCCTGCACTCAGCATCCTCTGAATAAGAATGATATAAATTCGACGGCTATCCGCTGCACATCATGGGCTGCAGCGTCGGCGGCCTCAGCTACAACAGCTTCGACAGGAGGCGTGCCCATGCTGCCTCAGGCGCCGTGCTAGGCGCGGGGAGCTGACCTCTGGGTACGCTGGTCTCCTCCTCCTCCTCCTCCTCCCTCCTCCTCCTCCCCGTCCTCCATTTCCTCCTCCTCCTCCGCCTCCTCCTCGGGTCGCCTGCGGCCCCGGGGGAAACCGTGCACCGCCCCCCTGCCCTCCCCTCCCGCCCTCCCTCGCGCCCTGAGCCGGCCGACCGCCCTCCGTTTCCCCCCCCCCCTCCGCGAGGGTCCGGCGGCTCCAGCCGCGCGCGCGGAGACGAGGAGCGGAGGTCGGCCGCGAGCTGCGAGCGACGGGGCAAAACGATCTGTAGACTTGCAGGACGAGGAGGAGGAGGAGCAGGACTCCTCGCCCTTCTCCTCCTCCTCCTCCTCCTCCTCCTCCTCCTCATCCTCCTCGTCCTCGTTCTCCTCCTCCTTTCCTTTCCTTCCCTGTCCTTTCCGTTTCCCTCCCTTCCTTTCTTTTCCTTTCCTTTCGTTTCGTTTCTTTTCCTTTCTGTTCACTTCCTTTCCTTTCCTTTCCTGTCTTCCTTTCCTCCTCGATTACTTCTCCTCCTTTCCTTCTATCCTCCCTTCCCTCCCTCCCTCTCTCCGTTCCTCCTCCCTCCCTCCCTCCTTCCTCCTTTCTCGGGATCGGGGGGGGGAGAGTGGGAGGAGTGAGAGGGACGTCGAGGTTGCTGTCCATGTTCGGACGCCCTGGGGGTGTGGAGGGGAGGCATCTCATCACAGCCGGACTGGCTTCGAGACCCTGGTCAGAACGGACCCCAGAAGAGATAATTGGGGCCGATTTGACTGGGGGAGGCATGTTGATGATGCTCATGATGCTGATGATGATGGTGATGATGATGCTGCTGATGATGATGACGATGATGATGGTGATGATCTGTTCCAGATGGTGATGATGCTGGTGATGCTGTTGATGATGGCACATATGCTGATGGCGGTGATGCCGCTGCTGATGATGATGCTGCAAATGAGTATGATGATGCTGATGGCGATGACGAAGATTCTGACGATGATGTTGATGCTGATGATGCTGCCGCTGATGCTGATGATGATGATGATGATGCTGATGCTGCTGATGATGATGCTGCTGATTGTCATGATGCTGCTGATTATGATGAAGAGGAAGATGGTGGCGATGCTGATGACGATGGTTGATGATGATGATGATGATGATGATGATGATGATGACGATGATGCTGATGATGATGCTGAACATGCTATCATGCTGCTGATGATGATGCCGATGCTGTTGATGATGAATCTGCTGACTGATGATGCGTATGCTGATGATGATGACGACGATGATGCTGATGATGACGACGATGATGGTGATGATGAGAACGATAATGGTGATGGTGCTGATGCCGATGCTGATGCTGACGCTGATACCGATGCTGATGCTGCTGCTGTTGGTGAGCATGCGATTGTCTTGTTGATGAGTATGATGGTGATGGGATGATGCTGCTGATGATGTTGATGATGATGCTGTTGATTATGATGCTGCTGATGATGATAATGATGAGACGATTACGCTGCTGATGATGATGACCATGACGACGACGATGATGATGATGATGATGATGATGATGCTGATGATGATGATGATGATGATGCGGATGATGATGATGATGATGATGATGATGATGATGATGATGATGATGATGATGATGGTGATGCTGAGTATGATGATGATGCTGATGATGATAGTGGTGGTGGTGATGATGATGATGATGGCGCAGACGATTACGATTACGACTACGATGGCGATGACGATGATCCCTCCTTCCCTCCCTCCCCTCTTTCCTCCCTCCTCCTCCTTTCTCGGGAGCGGGAGGGGGGGAGAGTCGCAGGAGTGAGAGGGACTTGGAGGTTTCTGTCGATCTTGAGAGCCGTGGGGGGCGCGGGGGCATTTCGTCACCGTTGGATTGGCTTCGAGCCTCTGGTCAGAATAGACCCCAGCAGAGATGATGTTGGTCGATTTGAATGGGGGGAGGGGGCGGCGGAGGAGGAGGAGGAGGAGGAGGAGACGGAGACGGAGGAGGAGGAGGAGGAGCAGGAGGAGGAGGAGGAGCAGCAGGAGGAGGAGGAGGAGGGGGAGGGAGGAGGAGGTGGTGGGCGCCGACTGGAGAGCGTCCGCAGGGTAACGGTGGTGCCCCCAGTGGCGGCAGCGGCGTCGGCCGAGACCACGGGACACCCGTCGTCATGGAGGAGGAGGAGGAGCAGGAACAGGAGCAGGAGCAGGATGAGGAGGAGGAGCAGGAGGAGGGTTGTGTGGTTTTGTCTGGGTGCTGTTGTTGCTGCTGCTGGTGTTGTTGTCGTTGTTGTTGTTGTTGGTGGTGCTGTCGTTGTTGTTGTTGTTGGTGGTGGTGGTGTTGTTGTTGTTGGTTGTTGGTTGTTGGTTGTTGGTTGTTGGTTGTTGGTTGTTGGTTGTTTTGTGTTGTTGTTGTTGTTGTTGTTGTTGTTGTTGTTGTTGTTGTTGTTGTTGATGAGGTGTTGTGATTGTTGTTGTTGATGTTGTTGTTGGTGTTGTTGTTGAACTCTTATCCCCCACCGGTGCACATTGATTTTTTTCGATTGAAGTGCCACCCCCGGGGCTCGCACTTTGTTTTTTCTCAAGGAAAGTCTTCCTGCTCAAACTGTGCCCCTGCCCCCCGGGCTACAACAACAACGGCTCCCGCCTGAGACTTCCTCGATTTTTACTCAGGACCCCCGCTCCCGCCTGAGACTTCCGCGCATAGACTTCCGTGCAATTTACGTGTCCCGCCTGAGACACAGTAGTGAGGACCCCCGCTCCCGCCTGAGACTTCCGTGCTTGAGGAACTCCCGCTTCTAGTACTCAGGACTGCGCTCTCGCGTGCGACGTCCTCACAAATTATTCTGGAATTGCGTTTCGGCGCTCAGGAACCACGTACGCGCCAAGGACGCCTTCACAACGTGATATCTTCCCTCTTCCTTCGTCCTTCCCCCTCCCCTTCCTCCCACTCTCCCTCGTTCTTCCCCTCCTCCTCTTGCAGGGCCCGCGCCAATTCCAATGGCGGGCAGAGAGATGTACGCCCCCGAAGGATTGTCCGGCCGTTCCGGTTTGCCCGTACGTCTAAGCCCGCCGGCCAAACACCCGAAAGGGGTGTGATCGAAGACGAAGAGGGCGGGCATCGAGGGTGTAGTGTATACGTGTTGAGTGTTTCGCGGGCAAGTAAGAGCGTACAGCCTTAAAATGGTTGTTGTTGTTGTTGTTGTGGTTGTTGTTGTTGTTGTTGTTGTTGTTGCTGTTGCTGTTGTTGTTGTTGTTGTTGTTGTTGTTGTTGTTGTTGTTGTTGTTGTTGTTGTTTCTTTAGGGGGGCTGAGGGTTCGAGTGTGTGCCAGGCCGTCCTCGGGGAAGTTCCAGAGGAGGCTTCTGGGAGGAGGCGCGCTTTGAGGGAGCAGAGAGAGGGAGGGCGATCCTTCATTCCCCTTGCTTGCCCCCACCCTCCAGCCTACCTGCCGGTTCCCCTCCCCTTCCTTCTCTTCTTACCCTTCCGCTCGCGCACGATCCCTCGTCGTTGGGTAGATGTGCACCGATTGCGAGCAGGACGTGCAGTGTGCGTGTGGCTCAACGTACGCTGGTCTGCGATTGTAGGGCGCGCGGTCGCTCAGACTCGTTGGGTTGTAGCTCCTGGTGGGGATGAGCAACCGGCCCTAGTCCATTTTAGAGCTGGCTAAAGGCTCAATCCATCCAGCATCTGGTCGAATCTGGTTTCATCTGGCCTGATCCAGCTCATTCAGATGCTATGCGCCGTCCTTCCTTCCTTGGGCCTCCGGGGTTGGGGTCGGCTACCCAGGACCCTGACGTCGGGATGTTTCGGCATGGCGACCAGTTGGAGACCGAGCAAGTCCCACAGAGGCCGAAACAGATTAAGCTCATTCGTCCTGGTGGTCATTTATTGTATTCGTTGTTTTGCCGATCGGCGCGTGCCCTCGCCCCCCCCCTCCCCCCCCCCTTGGGAGTAGATCTTGGCTGTTTTTGGCGCCTGTTTCAGGCAGGTGGAGCCTCCCCCACAGGACGCACGGTTGAAACAGTCGGATTAAGCAGAGGTCCCGAGCCAGACCCCCCCCACCTCTCCCTCCCCCTTTCTGTCCAATGTCGGAACGCCGATTAAAAAGAAACGCTCACCGTTCGTCCTGTGTTCTTCCAGGCGTCGGAGGTCTGAGGAACCAGCGCTGCAGGGGCCTGGGCCGTAACGAGCTTTATGATGTTCCAACCTACTTTAGCCTGGATCACCAAAACGAATTTCGAGCACCAAGAAAGTACCGAAATTGGGGGGGGCGGTGTTGGCGTGTCGGGCCCTTGGAGGCGACACTCGTTCGACACTGTTTCGATACTTTCCTGGGTGCTCGAAATTATTTTTGGGTTGTTGCCCTTAAGGTACGATGGGGGCAACATAAGACGAGCTCCTGACTCCTCAGGCTCCCCTCCCGGTCGGGCGCGGACGGACGGGGTTGTCATGGCCCGAGGCGTCCCCCCCCCAGGCTGCCTGGGAGGCCCTGGCGGCTCCAGAGATGGACCCCCGTCGGGGCCCAGGAGGGGGCGCCCGAGGCCTCCAACATGGCCGCTGAAGCTGGGGACGCCTCGAGCCAGGACCTCTTCCTCCTTCTCGTCCTCCTCCTCCTCCTCCTCTTCCTCCTCCTACTCCCTGCCCCGCCCCACCCCTGCCGCCGAGCAGAGGCCAGACATGCGACGTCCTGATTGTTTCAGGACAGCGTCCCTGGAAGTCCCGATCCTGTCCCCGGGACCGGCTTTTCGTCCCGAGTCGTTTTCTGACGGTCCCGAGGCCCGGCGAGGGTCTCCCGAGGCCGAAGGTAGCCAGAACCTTGCCGTCCCGATCTTTTACGACGCGATCATGTCTGGGTTCGGTCCGCGCCCGCCGATCTGTTGGACTCTGGAGGAGGACCTCGGCGGCAGCCTGGCTGCCAGTCAGCTGGAGGGGGAGAGGCCGGGCCCGGCAGAGCTCGTCGTCGTCGTCGTCGTCGTCGTCGTCGTCGTCGTCGTCGTCGTCGTCGTCCACTTCGCCTTCCGCGCCGTCTCCGCGCGCGGCACCGGGCGGTCCGCGGCACCATGCGCGCGCCCTCGGGCGCGCGAGGAGATCGCCGAGGGCACCCAGCGGCGCAGGTCGTGGGCGGCAGGCTGCATCCGTGTTCCTCGTTGCCAGGCCCCTTTAGGGCACCCTCCGAGTTGGGGGTCCTCGGGGAAGCCAAGTTGGTTTGTAGGTAATACTGATGGAACAGTAGTGTTCTAGCCCCTATCACAACCTCAGTTTGC